AGTTCAGTGCCTCTTGTCTGTCGCCCTTTTTGTATATTGGGACCACATTCGCCGTCTTCCATATTTCTGGTAGGTCTCCCGTCTCTAGTGACTTACTATACACTATGGAGAGTGGCAAGCAAAGTGCCTCTGCACACTCTTTCAGTACCCATGGTGAGATCCCATCTGGACCAACAGCCTTTCTAACATCCAGATCCAGCAGGTGTCTCTTGACCTCCTCTCTCGTAATTTCGAACTCCTCCAAGGCCGCCTGGTTTACCTCCCTTTCTCCTAGCACTGTGACCTCACCCTGTTCTATTGTGAAGACCTCCTGGAACCTCTTGTTGAGTTCCTCACACACCTCTCTGTCATTCTCTGTATACCTGTCCTCGCCTGTTCTAAGTTTCAATACCTGTTCTTTCACTGTTGTTTTCCTTCTGATGTGACTGTGGAGTAGCTTTGGTTCGGTCTTGGCTTTGTTTGCTATATCATTTTCAAAATTTCTCTCTGCTTCTCTTCTCACCCTGACGTACTCATTCCTGGTTCTCTGGTATCTCTCTCTGCTTTCTGGTGTTCTGTTATTCCGGAAGTTCCTCCACGCCTTTTTGTTCAGTTTTTTCGCTTCCATACATGCCCTATTATACCATGGATTCTTCTGTTGCTTCTCGGATTTTTCCCTTTGGGCCGGGATGAACCTGTTTACTGCCTCCTGACACTTTTGGGTAACATAGTCCATCATACCCTGTACAGACTTATCTCTGAGGTCTGTGTCCCAAGGTATTTCACTTAGGAAACTTCTCATCTGTTCATAATTCCCCTTTCGGTATGCCAGCCTTTTGATTCCTAGTTCTTTTTGGGGGGAGATAAGTCCTAGCTCAACCAGGTACTCAAAGTTCAATACACTGTGGTCACTCATTCCCAAGGGCGCTTCCATCTTAACTTCCCTAACTTCTGTGTGTGTGTGTATGTGTGAGTGAGAGTGCGTGCGTGCATGTGTGTGCGCTTGGCCTTGAGGCAGCCATCATGGTAGGGAGGGTGAGGAAGGATCGGACGGAGGGAGGGTGGAGGTGTTTGGGTGTGAGACGAAGGGGGGGGGTGAGAGGAGTGGGTGTGTGTTGGGGGTGTGAGATGGGGCGGCGACACACCCCAGCAACACCTGTGAACTCTCAGAGTGTGTATACAAGCACCATACGCACTGTGCGCGTACAGCACATACGCGCACTCGCGTGACAGTTGACAGGCGGGACCCAAAAGCCGAAGCTCAAACGCACTCCACCCCGCAAGCACAACTAGGTGAGTACGGAACCCACACGCCGACCTCCCCCCCCCCCGTACGCAATGGTACGCACCGCCCTCCCCCCACCCCCCACCCCCCCACCCCCCCACGCTCCAGCCAAGTAGGCACCAAGTACTTTCTTAAGGTCAGTCACCTTGAATTTTTAGAAAGATAAGTAAATCGTATAATGTAGCTAATCACTATAAGTCATCACTCATTGTTAGTTATCACTCATTGTCAGTCATTACTCACTGTCAGTCATCGCTGACTGTAAGTCATCACTCATTGTCAGTCATTACTCACTGTCAGTCATCAATCATTGTTAGTCATCACTCACTGTCAGTCATCACTCACTGTCAGTCACCACTCATTGTCAGTCATCACTCACTATCAATCATCACTCACTGTCAGTCACCACTCATTGTCAATCATTACTCACTGTCAGTCATCAATCATTGTTAGTCATCACTCATTGTCAGTCATTACTCACTGTCAGTCATCAATCATTGTTAGTCATCGCTCACTGCCAGTCATCACTCACTGTCAGTCATCAATCATTGTTAGTCATCACTCACTGTCAGTCATCACTCATTGTCAGTCATCACTCGCTGTCAGTCATCACTCACTGTCAGTCACCACTCATTGTCAGTCATCACTCACTATCAATCATCACTCACTGTCAGTCATCACTCACTCAGTCATCACTCACTGTCAGTCATCACTTACTGTCATTCATCACTCACTGTCAGTCATCAATCACTGTCAGTCATCACTTACTGTCATTCATCACTAACTGTCATTCATCACTCACTGTCATTCATCACTCACTGTCAGTCATCAATCACTGTCAGCCATCAATCACTGTCAGCCATCAATCACTATCAGTCATCATTCACTGTCAGCCATCAATCACTGTCAGCCATCAATCACTGTCAGCCATCAATCACTATCAGTCATCAATCACTGTCAGTCATCAATCACTGTCAGCCATCAATCACTGTCAGCCATCAATCACTGTCAGTCATCAATCACTGTCAGCCATCAATCACTATCAGTCATCAATCACTGTCAGCCATCAATCACTATCAGTCATCAATCACTGTCAGCCATCAATCACTATCAGTCATCAATCACTGTCAGCCATCAATCACTATCAGTCATCAATCACTGTCAGCCATCAATCACTGTCAGCCATCAATCACTATCAGTCATCAATCACTGTCAGCCATCAATCACTGTCAGCCATCAATCACTATCAGTCATCAATCACTGTCAGCCATCAATCACTATCAGTCATCAATCACTGTCAGTCATTATTCATCATCCACCCACCGACAGTTATTATTGCCAGTTAATATTAAATTG